AATGCTTCAGCATGGGAAACAACACATCCCATATGCCCGGGGCTCCATTTCCCGCGCCTTGCAGGGCTCCGGCCCCTCCGCTACCCCAGCTGGGGCGGTGGAATCCATTTTTCCGTTGCCTATCAAAGATGTGTGTCATCTTAGAAAGGCAGAGGGCCTGAAAAGCGCTCACTCCCATTTGCTTATCAAAAAAGCAGCTTGCCAGGAATTAGGCTGTTGATTGTAAGGGCGTTATCTGGCCAGCACCGGTGCTGAAATCAGCACTGGCAGCGGATGAAGTACTGGTGGCAAGGGTGAGCCAAGAGTCAAGTCACAGAATGTGGGATTGAAAGAGCGATCGCCATGAAGAATGGACAGTCAGCTGAACTCCTGCTCTGCTCGCACTCTATAGCCATTTGTTTTCTCGAAGTCGCAAACTGGTTGTGCCCTGTAGCTGCGGAAACACGCAAGTGAATTGCGTGTAATCTGTACTTCTGCAAGACATGGTAACTAGTGCGCTAAAGGCGCTTGGATTCAAAGCTTATGCTTCAACTCGTGATTGAAGTCAGGCAGTCAATCAATGCTCAGCATGCAGTTCAATAATGGAAACTGCAAATTCAAAAAGTCACTAATTGTCAACCAGCAATGAGGCTCGCCCAAGGAGGTTGAGCTTTTCTCACAATGTTTCAGATACCAACCAAAATCAATTACTTGCAACACTTAATGAGCGAGTCAAGCAGCTCCCAACTACCAATTTCAAAAATCACGACCCGAACCGATAACCATGGCTTTCCAAGATCTTTCAATGTCTTCAAGACTATGCATGCAAACATAATCCCAAACGCTAGTGTTTTAAGTTGTGTCACATCATCAATTTGGCATGCAAATTTTCAAGCAGTCGAAAACGGGGGGCGTGTTCAGGCCGTTTGCCGGCATTTTTTTTGCTCATTGATGTGACATGCTTGTTTGAATGCGGTTTGCCGGCACATTTCAGGTGTAGTCCAAGTATCATTAGCAGTTGATTGTTACTGGCAGGGACAGTAAGTGTAAAGTATTTCAGACGTGTGTGATCTTTGTATGAACCAGTCCACCACAAGCTTTTGGATTGAGAAGCGCTATCCAAGAAAAAGATGTTGATACTTCCAAGTCCAAGTTGGAAGACGCGAGAGTAAATCCTGAATCCTAACAGGATACTGGCATGTCGCAAAAAATCATGGCCCTCTTCGCTCCAAGTCCAGATGTTAATTTAAGGCGCAATTGAATTGTTTCGAAGTGGAGAGAACCACGCCTGCCGTGTTTTTTTTCCGAGTTGTCTTGAAGAGAAAGGGGCGGTTTGTTTGCAGCTTACGAATACAACGTACGTAATTATCCCCTCCCTCACCCCCAGCCCCCAACCCTCCCTAACGTCCCGGCAAACGAATTGGACGTACCCTAAAAACAATGTCGAAGAACTACTTGTCGTTAGCTCAGTTTCTGTGGGATGCCTGTCGGAGAAAACAGCTACGCCCAAATTCCACAATGCCTGGCCTAGCCAATCCTTCTTATTTGGCCAATATGGAATCGATCTTCAGGGTTTCACGGGCTCGTGGCTCAAGTAACTTGTGGCTCAATCGTCCTGCAGTTGCCGACTAGCGGTGTAGTGATTGCAAACCAAGGCCATAAAGCTCTATTCCTGCACTTGACGGAAGCAGGGAGTGTCCCTGCATGTCAAAAAAGTTTGAAGCCGCGCTTTACCGTGAGGGTCACATGGCACGAAACCAAGATTGAAATTCAAGCAGAAACACATGCCAAATACTTGCTTGGTAGTCACATTGCTTTCCTGTGAATCTTGCTTGGTTGTCTGTTGCTGCCTGCCATTCTTTCTTAATTCCAGACAGCGTTGCAAAGGTTTTTTTTCGTGCGGAGGTGGTTGTCTGTGTGGTGGCTTGGTGTCTGCTTGTTGGGATGATGTGAATGCGATGATATAATGTCGGTAGTTAAGTAGCGGATGGGATGTGAGGTTGATGGCATGATGCGAACTGTTTGTACGGCTTTCGTGAGGTCAGCCTCCAATAGTTCATATGGAGACAGCAATAGGATGATGTAACGATTGTGATGTTAGTTTGTATACTAATGAATACGTTTCGATACCTCACTGCTCCAAACGCTTGCAGGGCGCCTTAGAGGATCTTAGAGGGCCCTTCTTCCATTCCATAGACTTTTCCAAGCAAGTGAAAGGTAACCACACGCACATGTACCCCATGGGTGCAGATTGCAAGACAAGGAAATTCCTGGCCATGGCTGGTGCCGCAGATGGGCAAGTCACCAGTGCCAAGACCTCAATTGTGTTTCACTCGAGTTCCGTTTTTAAAACGAGTCGTCACTGAGGTGGAGAAACAGGTCTTGGAGTCGAATCCATTGTTGGAAGCGTTTGGCAACGCCCGGACGCTGAGGCCAGGCAGTGCGGAGAACGCTAACGCTGCAAATGCCGAACTGACTGCAAAGTTCAGATGCCTTCTCAAACTTGTGCTGCATTCTCACAAACACTACTCTGCAGGAACGACAACTCCAGCCGCTTTGGAAAGCTGAAGCCCTGGAAAAATCAGCTCTTGAGCTCCTTTCCGTGGATGAAAGCCAGGTTCATTGAGCTCCAATTTCGAAGCTCGACCAGCGAGGCCCGCCGGCCAAGAGCCATCAGAGCCCTCAGTTTCCGCATTTCCCGAATTTGGCTTTAGGGTTTAGAGCCAGAAAGATGCGCAAAGAATCCTAGCCACAGAGCAATCATCTCAGAGTATCATACACCGCTGCTGACCAAGATGCACGGTCAACACAAAGCCATTGAGGAGAATCAGATTTTGTGTACATCTTGAAACAACGGGTCGCATCGACTGCAATTGTTACGATCCTCCGTCAACACCAGGAGATGCTCAGTTCATGATCACGAAAGTCACGAAAGCGAATCTGGGGAGGGACAACCTGAGCAGAAGGTCGGAGGAGGAGAGGAGGCCAAATCCACCAGCGTGGAAACGTAAACCCCTCGAGTCCAGAAGGAGAAAACCAGACCCTTACATTGCATTCCACATGCAGCAGTTGAGATTTCTGGCTCCGAGTCTCTTTTGTCTCAATTCAAGAATTGCTGCCCGTTGTCAGATGAAGCACTTCCTTGCGAGTGTATCGGATCTGCATCATCTGAATTCCAAGTTTGGGGTGCCGAAGATATGGGTACTGAGAGTGTGCCCAAACCAATTGTACTTCTAAATCAGCCTGTCGGCGGCTGGAACAGTACCACCCCACGCTTGTGGACTCGTGCACCAACGCTTCAAGGTAAACGTTGCTCGTTACACATCCTGGCCGGTGATCAGTGTCTCTAGTTCCTGAAGCTTGTGGCTCTCAAAGGTGCAGGACTTCTATACAATCTTGGCATCTCCAGCGCGATGTTTAATCCGAGCGCCTGGTCACAACAACAACCTCCAGTTTTGATATGATGGTCGAGATGGCGTCAGAATCATGGACGACGTTGATGCCATTCTCTGTTTCACGGAGAGTGGTGCGCAAAGAGGATCAAGAAGCTCCACATTCGTTTCTGGCCCGCCAGAGGCCTGACAGCTTTCTCAGTTTGAGGACTTGCGGAGGGAGTGTTAACAGAAACTCCATTCCTGAAAGATCTTGAACGTGCAGGAGATGTGTAGGTTGAGGATGCACCTCCCACAAAACCGGCCTGGTCTTGTATTCACGAACCAAATGAGAGCACTAGAAAGCACATCAAAGCCGCAGAGCGCACAATGCCTTCTGAATCAAACAGTTGCGCATTTTGACCACCCCATAAGTTGTAGTGGCACTATCGGTCCACTTGTCAGTGACACTGTCATGGAAAGCGAACTTTGCGATGCTCTGGATTATTGTCTTCACATACCGCTGTGGGACCCTGCACCCGGGCATGGGTCACAAGCTCGTGAAAGTAAAAAACAAGCCTGTGAGAGGCAGAGAGTCGGCAAACAGGTTGCCGGTGCTGTGACAGCAAGGGGGTGTGCAAAGGGGGAACCCTAGGAACCCCAAGAAGGAAGGGGCGACAACCCTAAGAACAAGGCGCTCCAGGCAGAGGACTGGATGAGCAATCTCAAGGAAGGAAGCAGTGAAAATGCCATGATGAGCACTGAAGGTGGTTCTCAGAGATCAAATCGCTTGACAGCAGGCACGAACTGACTAACTGAAACCACGGCCTAAACCCTACAAAAGAACCCTAAGAGGTGTCTGGGGCATTGAAGCAGAGGCACGGGGACTGAACTCTTTTGAAAGAACCCTACAAGGGGTTTGGTTAAAGGATTGGACGCACAACAAGCATCAACGGACAAGAGGTGCCACTACTGGCCCGGGCACAACACAGGGGCTAAACCTTATCGAAAGAACCCTACATGGAGTCTGGTAGTGAAAAGACTGGATGCGCAGCGAGCATCAGCGGACAAAAGTTTGTACTACTGGCTAGAGAACAGCACAAGGACTAGACCCTATCGAAAGAACCCTACATGAGGTTTGGTCCTCAAGAAATTGGGAGTGCAGCAAGCATCAACGGACAAAAGATGCTATAACTTGCTGGGGCACAGCATCTGCCTATTGCCCGGATGGAAATCAAAATTCATACTGCAAAACATTGCCGTTTCGAGAACAAGCCGAACCTGCGCCAGCTGTCTGGGCACTGCGCGCCGCAGCCTTTGCATTAAAGAGGATCTTCAACGGTGGTGGGTACTGCAAGAAAATGCTGGCCATTGTCGTCGGCTGTGCTATCGTGAGCCTCAGCCCATTGCGCATGGGTGGCACCCTTACAGCCAGGGTGTGGACTTCCCACAATTGAGCGGTCAATCTCACCCCCACATTTTTCTCTGAGGAATCTGGACAACTTAGAAATTGAGGTTCTCTCAAAGCAGTTTTCACATGCCAAGTCAGTACCGACATCAAGTTTGTGTAGCCCTAATTCTGCACAGGCGCGGTTGTGAAGGATACGTTTCTCGATTCTTGTTTTGTGACGCCAGTCGTCAATGCGGCAGTTACTAGAATGAGCATGGAGGACGTGGTGCTGTCTCCTTCAAGTGCTCCCTGCGGTTGAGTCAGCAAGAACTATAGACATGCAGCAACCCTCTATCTCCTGCAACTCTTCAGACGACCAGCATACAAGATGAGCTAAAGCCCTGTTAAACTTCGTGCTTCGCTTCTTCGTAGCTGCAGGATTTGCTGCAGGTACCTGGTCGGAAGTACTTTGCTTACCTATATTTCTTCGCCTGGCAAAAGGGGTCCAAAGGGGTTTGGAGAGATTGGTAGAATCAAGCAAGAAACTTCTTTTGTGTGGTTTGTGCTCAGCAGATTTGTCTCCATTGCAGCTTCAAATAAATACCACGGCTGGCACCATGAATATTGGACGCTGCAAAAGCCCTTAGAGGATTTCACCTTGTCGAGCGGTGGCTGCAGTATGCTGCAGTGCTACTGTCGCAGGATGCATCATCCTTGGGTGTGGCCGGCGAGAACTGCCGCCTGTGCGGTGCCCGCATCCAGACCTACCTGCTTGAGAAGGTCGGTCTCCAGACGTTTCTATGATCCTCTGGAGTTTCTGTGAAGAGTCTCAAGCAGGTGCGTGTTTGTGACCAGCAAGAGGGCGAGAGGAACTACCATCTCTTCTACGAGGCACAGTGGTGCCCCAGCAGGTCTCAGAACTTAAAGCTGCTGAAACCTGTTTGGTGTATGGACTGCAGCAACGACCACTAATTTTGCGATTAGATATTCAGAAGCATGAACTCGCACCTTGCATTTCTGAAGCGCAGCATCTCTATGACCAGCCAAGAATGCCCTTTCAATCTGTTTGAAACAAAAACCTGTTTTGTATGGTCGCGCGATTCGCGCGTCTAGGCCTGTGCGGCGGCAGCATCCCTGGGCACAGGGTCTGACTACGCGCAGCTCTGCCTGAATTTGCCAGAAGATTTTTCCACTGTTCCCAATGATATGTCCCAAGGTTTCCTCAGAAGTTGTCCAAAGAGAAGGTCAAAGAGGAAGTGACCCTGAACCTGGAGGCCTGACCGGGCTTGCCGGCGCATTGCTCTTTTGATATCCTTTGGTACTTTTCAGGGCTTCGCGGACCTCGGCAACTTCGCATACCTTACGCGGTCTTCCTGCAAAACTCTGCAGCCCGCACGAACTGTCAGGGGCCCAAGACGAGGCTGATGCAGTGTGTTTCTCTCAGGAAAGACGTTGATGACATTGAAATGTTCGAGAGACGGATACATGCCTGGGGCTGAGCTCATCAGGTTCCACAGTCCCGCGTGCGTTGCGTTCAGTTGGGGTTGCATTTTCGGGAGGCCATGCAAACAATTGGAATTCCAAACGACGAAATGACGCAGATTCTCCGCATGGTCGCTTCAGCCGCTTACCGCAAGGAGCACGCTTGCTGCATTTGCTGCATTTGCTGCAAGCTGCAAGCGCTTTCGGCAAGCCTCGCAGAGCTTGCAGAGCCGAGGTCCTCCATTTGGGCAACATCAAGTTCGATGCTCCTCCCAACAACAGTGAAGGCAGTATGTGATGGACAGAGCAGAACATTACCTGAAATTTACAAGATCCGTGAGCAGAAGACACTACTCTTCACGCGTTGACTCGGCTTGGCTCCGTGGCTTGGCTCCGTGGCCTTGCCGCAGGCTCCATGGCCATGGCGGAGTGCGATCGCTCCGTCGCCGTGGGCTCGGCAGCCACTTCCGCCTCCTGCATTTGAGCAGCTTTTTGCGCAGCAAGCCGAAGCATCTAAGTTCCAAGCAAGGAGATGGCGAGCAAGCTCTTGGGGGTTGACCGCAAGTCCTTGGAGTGCGCCTAGCTGAAAAGGCGCAGCCTGCGCCTCACCGCAGTTTCCACAGGTCGGCTCTCTGCAGCCAGACTCGCGTGACGCGCAGTGAGAAAATTCGAAGCCCTGTTAATGTGCGTGGTGCCCTTGGCTCTTCGGCGTCGACTTGCAAAGAGCCGTGATGGGTCTTGATCATAAGGACAAGCAGCCGACAACAGAGATGCGCTGGCAAAGGCAGTTTATGGGATAGTCTTCAATTTCATCGTGTCCGGCACCAAGGCAGCTGAAGGCACCAAACCTTTGGTTTTGACTTTGGGGCTTAGGCAGAGCACCAACATGTCCATCGGCTACGTGGAGGCACAAGCTGTAAAGTCGAGACTGTGCGCCTTCCTCCCCTTTCCCTTGAGGATGTGAAGCTCTTTGCTGGCGTGCTGGACATCTTTGGCCTGCACCCAACACTGTTAACGCTGTTGGTCGAAAAAGAATGGAGAAGGACTTCAAGCTAAGGCTTCGAGTGCTTCAAGATGAACTCCTTCGAGCAGCCGGGAACTCAAAGATGTCCGTTGTGCGGCTTCATGACAGTCTTTTCAGGCTGTGCATCAACTTCACCAATGAGCGACTGCAGCAATTCTTCAATTCCTTCGTCTTCAAGTTGGAGGCGAACCCGGGACTACTTCATGCGACCTATGAGCACCTGATGCACGCACGCTCCATTCTATGTCTACAAAGCTTCTTAGTGTGAAGGCATGTGCAAAGCTAGTGAAGTCAGCACCGACGTCTACTCTTGAGATTCCGCTCGGGAGGGGAGTGCTCTTTTTCCCCAACAGCTTTAGCTTTGGGGTCTTCTGCCCAAATAAGTTTCGGAGCGAATCGGAGCGGCCCCTAAAAAAGGTTCCGGAGCGTGGTTCCGGAGAGGTTCCGGAGCGAGGTTCTGGAGAGGTTCCGGAGCAAGTTCCGGAGAGGTTCCGGAGTGAGGTTCCAGAAGGGTTCCGGAGCAAGGTTCCGGAAAGGTTCCGGAGAGGTTCCGGAGAGGTTCCGGAGAGGTTCCGGAGCGAGGGTTCCGGAGAGGTTCCGGAGCGAGGTTCCGGAGAGGTTCCGGAGCGAGGTGTTCCGGAGAGGTTCCGGAGCGGGCTCCGGACATCCGGAGCGAGGTTCTGGAGAGGTTCCGGAGCGAGGTTCCGGAGCGAGGAGGTCCTGGAGAGGTTCCGCAGCAAGGTTACGGCGAGGTTCCAGACAGGTTCCGAGCAATGTTCCGGAGAGGTTCTGGAGAGGTTCCGGAGAGGTTCCGGAGGTTCCGGAGGAAAGCCTTCTTTCCGGTGCCGGGGAAAGGTCAGCCCGGCGC